GAAGCTCTTGGAGCGCCCGTCTAAAAAAGAAGAAAAGAGTCAGTATATGCATAAACACAACTCCAAAAAGAGAGTGAAAGGTTCGAAGCCCACCTAGGGTGCCCCCTTGTTGGGGGAGTCGGTTGAAGACTGTTGCATGATAGAGGCCCGCAACATGGTCGCCGCAGTCTTGGAGGCGGTAATTTTCCTCATGGCGTCCGCTGCAAAAACAAATAGCAAAGTTAATAAAAGTCATAACAGAAATGCATGGAACAACAGAGTATTTGACAGGCCGGCTAGCTCTTGAGCACCGACTGCTGAGGCCACAAGCGGCCAAAAAGTACTCGTCGTAGAGCCATTTGAAGCTCGGGACGCAGTGCAGGGGTACTTGCTCTCGTACCCCTGAAGTAGAGTTCACCTTCGACTCTACTTTGAAGAGTCCTTTATCTAGGATCTCTTTCTTAGCCTTGGGGGGAACAGGCGGCATGTTGCGGCCGCCTGCAAGAAGGGGCGGATTCCTGTTCCACCTGTTGAAGCGCTTGTTCAGCTTTGTGTCTGAACTCTCAATGATAAGGAAGGTGCTCCGCCAGTCCTTCCATTTGTTTGCTTTACTTCTTGTCATGAGGTAGCCCCTGTGGCTCGTCGATTGATACCAGCCAGTACCGCCTGCCTTAGGGGTCCGGCTGAGGTAGTTCATGTGGGCGAAAGCCTCGAAGTTCGGCTCCACCCCGTGCAGTTCGCACCCGGCCACATAGTCGAGTACGTTGACCCAGGAGTTCGGGGCTAACTGCCATAACCCCAACTCATACCCATCCAAGATCCGCTGAACAGCCGGATGTAGTGGGAAGCGCAGCCCAGCCTTGATGGCCGCCTCGTAGCAGCCAAAGCAGGCGCCATCATAACTAGTACCAGCCGGCCAGACGACTGTGTCTTCTAGATCCGACACGAACACTAAAAAGTCGGGGCCCATTGTGTGGTTTGCGATAAAGCTCCCCACTTTCTCTTGCATGGACGTGATCCGGCCTCGAGGTACCGTGCAGTAGTAGGGGGTATTTTGCTCTCGGTGAGAGGCGGATGGCTCCGCCCAATTGTCCCCCTTCTCAACTGCGTGAGAAAGCCTCGCCTCTTGTAGGCGACTATTTTTCTCTTCTGTGTCCAGAGATGCATGGCCAGAAGAGCTAGACTCGGATTCGTCCTCTGACGAGTCCGAAGAGGACGACTCCTCCCCTCTCCCAGAGGGGCCCGCCTCCTCTCCTTTAAAAGGAGTAGGAGAGAATGTAGAATTGTCAACTGTAAAATGGGAAGGGGTCACTTTGACTCCTCCCTCAGAACTGCCGGCTTTCAAGCCGCTTTGTTTCACTTCCACATCTGGCGCCTGGTCAGATGTTTCACTAATCGGCACCCTGTGGGAGGAGCCGTCTGAGTTCGAGATCCTAGAAGTCTTTTTTGTTCTGGCCATCATGTTCTTCATAGACACAGGTACAGTCGGACTTTGTATAAAGGGAAAAGATGGGTCCAGAAAAGGGCAGGCGACACTCCAAGTCCTAGATTCAGCCGTCCCCGATACCGGCTGATCGCTAACCTAGGTCGTGTCGTATGCTTCCGTGGTGCCATTTCAAAAAAGAATAAAGTAAAGAGAAAATTAAGAGTAAGAGAACCGACGGTTACCTGAACGAGTGACGATTGATGAAGTTCTGAAAATCCTTTGCAGTCGGCTTGTCAGAGCAGGCGGTAGGCAGAAAGGGTCCAAAATGTCAGAGCAAGTTTAGGGGTCCGAATGTTCTCTCACAAAGTTCTCAAGTGTGAAAATGACCGAAGGCAACACTCCCTTATATAGGCGAAGTGAGAAGGCGAAGGGTCACTTCTGGAATTCAAAATTTGGGCGGGAGAATCTCTTGGCCTTTCGCCGAGTGACACCTGTAGCAGGCCGTCGCCTGTTACAGGGCGACACCTTTCACAGGTAACACGTGACCAGTCACGTGCCACCTGTGAGGGGCAAATGATTAGGGGATTTTGCTTCCACCAATCGGAATGCGCCACGTGGGCCAATCAGGTCCTGCCAAGTGTCCCCCAGTTGGACCTCTCAGGGCTTGCCACGTGGCACACGCTTATTCGTCCACCCTGGACCTATTATGTCATGACACGTGGCATACTCCATGCCTAATGGAGAAGTCGGCCACCTAGGCCCAACTTCCGAGGGAAGCCCAATGAGCCCAAGGTTAACCTAAACCTAGGATTGGCACGTTTCCCGAGGTTATAGATACCTCCCTTAATCCTCATTAAGGGGGATGACGCAGATTACACACATTAAAAACTCTCACCTAGAGAGACCCAATCACTTTAATTTCTGCATTAATTACTCCTTAATCAAGTACTAACTTGACCGTCGGAGGCGGATCTCCAATCATCCGGAGCATCCGTTTGTTTTGCAGGTACAGGCGTCCGGTTCCAGTCTCGGAATTGTAACTCTCCCGCAGGACATCAGAAAACCCCGAAACAGGTGTCATGGCCAACATCCTCATGGAACTGACAGTACTTACTCTTGTCTCTGTTCTTGACAAAGCTCTTCATTGCAGCCGGTTTTTCAAGAGTCAACCGGTCTTTTATCTCCACGAGGATGGAAGAGCAGTCTTTGTAAAACTCGTACTTGGGGACGTACGGTTCCAACTTCCTTTGCTTCTTCTAGGACGACTGACCTGGGCGGTCAGCTGCCCAGACTTCTTTTCTTTTCTTTTCTTCTTTTTCGGCCTGCTGGTTAGGCCGGCTGTCTCTCCTGTCGGACAGCTTGGGTTCCGACGGATGCTTGATAGAGCAGAGCTCAGTTTCCTATATATAGGCCTCCGCCTCCATCAGCGCCTCTTGGAGGGTGGCTACCCTCTTGCAGACCAGGTCAAATTTGAAAGCTAACCCATCCTTCAGACCCTTGAAGAAGTCTGTATATGCAACTTCGTCAGACAGCCCCTGAATCGGAATTCTCATCAGATTGAACCGCCTGACATAGGACCGAAGTCCCTCCTTGTCACCCTGCTGGATAGCCCCTAGGTCGAGACTTGTCTTTTTAGCAGGGATATTCATGGAAAAGTTGGAGGCAAACATGTATGCAAGCGTCTTAAAGTTATTGATGCACCCAGCCGGCAAGTTGCTGAACCATCGCTGGGCTATGCCCTTCAATGTAGCCGGAAGCATCTACACCAGGCGGCGTCATCCAACCCCTGTAGGTACATGAGGTTGGTGTATGCCATTAGGTGGTCTTCTGGGTTGGTGGTACCGTCGTAGGCACCAACCAACACATTCTTAACCTTGGCCGGCTGTGCCGCCTCGGTTATCTCATGGGAGAAAGCCGAAGGCTATTCCCCAAGGTTTAGCAGTCGGAGCTGTCAGTCCATGGGCTGGACCTGGTAGGCCGCCTGACCCCTAAAGGGTGCCGACTGCATGAATGGAGATCCATACGGGACGTATGCCTGTTGGGGCACATACGGGGACTGCTGCTGGATCACATGAGAGCCAGTACGTGCAGACATGCTGCGTGACTGACTCCCCTGTTGCGTGTCTGAATGCTTCATTGAAGCATTTCGGAAACTGTCTGAGTAGGTCGACGTTGAGGACGTCTGAGACATGCTCTGATTTCTCTTCTCCTGGATGAACAACCGGGCGTCAGAGAAAGTCTTCTTTGACCCATCTGGCTGTGTATGCCGGATGGCCTTCCGTTGCCCCGATTCGGGGAAACGAAGTTTCTAAAGGTCGATCAGGGGCCCATCCGTCCCCTTGGGTTTGGGATGCGGAGTAGGCACCCGGTCTTTGATTTGCTTCTTTCCGGAGGGAGAAGGCTTCTTTGCCGACTGACCCTTGCTGGAGCCAGCTGACTTCTTGATTATATCCTTGATTTCCCCCTTAAAACTAGTCATGAGGTTCATGAGTTCGTCTCTGGTGACGGGGGCAGCACCCTCCGCCGCCTGGGGTTGTCCCACAGGCTTGCCGCCTGGGTTGTTGGGACCAACTTTGTCGTGACCCTGTTCCCTTATTTCCTTGGAACGGGTGCGCCTAGAATGGAATGACCCGTCTGGGGCCATGTAGGTTTCGACGTCATAGTCGTCCCCACTGCCACTCTCATGGTCCGTATGGACCTCAGGGTCAGCTGGAGGTCGGCTGCCCTCTGCATTCGGTACAGCATCAGATGCCATCTCAGTAGTACTATCCCCACTGACGGCGCCAAATGTTTCGGGTGTTTTTAGTCCCTCGGGAGAGTTACAATACGGAGTATGCACGCCTGACTTCTGTACCTGCAAAACCACGAAACTCCGGTTGGGTGGAGTTCCGCCTCCAACGATCAAGTTAGTATGATTTTCGGATGGGTAAACATACGGAAAGTAAATAGGTATTTCTCACTGATTCAGAGAGATTCCGCAATTAATATTGCTCGGGTTTTGTGTATGCATTTATGAATGTCCAATAAATAAGGAGGATTCCTCTATTTATAGCAAATGAGAATCTGCTCCCCCATTGGGGGTTTAATGCCACGTGGCATCCTCTGATAGGATCCCCTTAGGCCTGTAAGAAGGTGATACGTGTCAGGCCCTCATTGGGCCACGAGGCAGGGGTAATATTTACCCCAAACAGAACCCGATCTAAATTTGACTCGAATTAAACTTGACCTACACCTAAAAGGGTGTACGACTCGGAATAACCTGAACCGAAATTGACCCGACCCGAACCTAAACTTGATATGAGGCTAGATTGACCGACATAATTTGATCCTAATTTAACTCGAGGCATGATTTGACCCGACCCGAACCCGACTTGAATACCCGAATTGACATCTCTAGCGTAACCTTTTCAAATTACTGTTTTTTTTTTTTAAGAAAATACGGCGTATACAAATTTAGATTTTTTTATTTTAGGTAGAGAAGGCAGCTATATTATATCAAATCGTATGCAAATTTAGATAGCTCTTGGTAAATGTGCAAAACGACATGAACTTCGGCCACAATATAAACAAGCAACCCCACATAGCGTAGACACTAGACACCTATAGTTTGGGACAAAACAGATAACATACGGCACTCTAGCGAGAGGTCGACAATATTCGACCTCGCCATCATTCAACAACAAAAAAAAGAAAATGGCTGGAGTAAAGATCATTCAAACCCCATTTAACAACACCAGCAATATCCTGCATCCGACCTTCCATCCAAGGACCTTATGGAAGCTGTGCTCACTCCCTCTTTGCCGTTCCGTACCCAAGGACTCGAACTCAGAGGGTTCCCAACCACAAGGAGACCCAAAGAAACAAGAATTACTGGCCAGAATAGCAATGCTTCAAGCTCAAAAGTATCGACTTACAGATTACTTGGACGAGCGGTCTGCTTATCTGACTCAATTTGCTGAAGAAGCCAACATTGAGATTGATGCAATCGGTGAAAACGCGTTAAAAGATCTAGATGAAGCCAGTGCTCGGGTCTGCTCATCAATTTAATTCTTCTTCCTCGTATTTGAAATTTTAATATTTTGTAACACAGTACTTGATCCGATTTATGATAAGCAGATAATGGAGAATATCGAAAGCAAGATGCAAGCCTTTGAGGAATCATCAGAGATGAGCAAGGAGGAGATTGCAAAGAGGGATAAGGAGTTGGCAGACTTTGAAGGTGATATCGAAAAGGGCCGAAATGAAGGATTGTTCTTCCAGAGCCTGCAGGAAAAGACACCAGTGGATAAAGAAAAAGCCAAAGAGGAAACAAAGAAACTTGCTGCTGTTACTAAAGATACTGCTGCATCCAAGGTCAGGAGAAACATATACCTTGCATTGATGGGTCTCATGGCTGTCGGTATTGCTGATTCATATATTGCTTCCTCACCAGACTGGCGAAAAATAGCTGTTCTTGGAGCAATATTTATTGGTTTGCTCAGCCAATTCATCTACGAGCAAAATTTGCTAAAAGATAGTGAGAAGGATGATATACAGGATATAGATGATGAAAGAAAGTGAAGGCGATTATTTATTCTTCCATTCAGCTATTTAAAAATTACCGATATTATGTGCTAAAATGTTGTAACTAGTAAATACAGGCTATACAGCATAACTTCATAGACCCAAACATTGCACATCACTTAGATTTAATACTGTCGTACTAGTTGCTGCGTTTGCATCGTTCATTGGTTTCCCCGTTTCAGTGATTTTCTGAGAATTCTGACGCCAACAAATTAAGTCTAGCGTAGTTGATGCTTCAAAATGTATAATGCTGTGAACTGCATAATATGCAGATAATCAATAATGAAATTTGGTTCCAGTTGCACTTTGCTACAAGCTATTAATATAACTGAGTACAAGTATAAACCTAAAAATTGTGCTTCTGGGAAAGCAACCAGTGAGTAATGCATGTCAAAATAACTTTACAAAGATAATCATGATAATTGTTCTAGTTAAGAGGCACTATGTCATCAAAAATATATTAATGGGTCCAACACTGTTAACCTTTAATAAACAAATACATCAACTAATTCTGAAAAGCTCCATCAGATTTCTAACAGACCAAGTTCATTTTAAAAAGAAAGATAACCTGTCAGAATTGAGTTAAAGAAATTGCATTCAGAACCAAATTCCCAAATTTGTTTACAGGTAAAAAATTTATTTGGATACATCAGCACTACTACATTAGTAGAAATATTGTTGTGAAGTCCAATGATAAGGTGAAATCGTGCATCACTACCATGTATTACTAGTTTTCAACTATCAATTGCACTCAGGACAATATGAGAGTGTATTTACAACTGATTCAGGCAGTCAACTTATATTATTACAATTAAGTTGTATATAAGATAGTTTCTTCATCCAAACATAAAATTGGAGAATTTTATCAATTTTATGAACTGATTCTCAAATTGAGCTCTCTGATCAAATAGACCGCAGAACAATCAAGTTAGTCAAGTAATGTCAGAAGAATTTATGTTTGAGGGCAGCCCCACAGCAATCAAATTGCAATTATGTCAAACTATACTCACAAAAGAAAAGAAAAAAAATACAACATAAATTCAAGATTTATCCAAAATGGTATTAAAGTCAAAAGTCCTTAAAAACAAGAGGTCGACTATTTTTAGTAAAGGCCAGTGACAGCCAGTATAAACTTTGTCACATCCCATGACATGAACCAAACTGATATTTTCGTGGGGGCGTTCCCTACTCAGCGACGCGCTGCACTTCCTAGACCCAGGTGTAGTGATAAGTATGCAAGGGTTGCTAGGTCGTCGCCCGGAAGCGATGCGCCACATTGCCCGAGTGTGGTGTCAAATGAGCAAGGGCGTGCCATTGGAGCGCTCCCGACTGAGCGACGCGCTGCACTTCCCAAACCTGGGTGCGGTGATAAGTATGCAAGGGTTGCTAGGTCGTCGCCCCGAAGTGACGCGCCACATTGCCCAAGTTTGGTGTCAAATGATCAAGGGCTTGCAGTTGGGAACAGGAGGGAGCGTGGTACGAGTGCTCGTGGGATGAGGGAGCGTGGGAGAAAGGACTCTAGTTTGCGGATTGGTTCTTGGAATGTGGAGTCTCTTACAGGGAAATCAGCACAAGTGGTAGAAGTGATTAAAAGAAGACGCGAAAACATCATGTGCCTCTAAGAGACAAGGTGGACAGGAGAAGGAGCTCGAGGCTTGGTTTTGGGGTATAAGGTGTGGTACGTTGGACAAGAAGCAAGCCTCAGGACTAGAAATGGTGAAACTAGGAACGGAGTTGGTGTGATTCTCGATGAGAGGTTGTCAAAAGAGGTAATCGAGGTCTATCGGAAGAATGATAGGTTGATAAGGGTGAAGTTGCTATGTGGCAAAAAGATTGTGAATGTTATTAGTGCTTATGCTCCCCAAGTTGGTTTGGATGCAGAAGAGAAACAACAATTTTGGGAGGATTTAGACGAGGTGGTACAGGGTGTCCACCACTCAGAGAAGTTATATATTGGAGGTGATTTAAATGGGCACGTTGGGGCGAGTGGAGATGGCTATGAGAGTGTCCATGGAGGCTTAAGGTATAGGCAGGGGACGCAGGTGGTGAAGCTATTATGGATTTTACCCAATCATATAATTTAATTTTGGCTAATACTTGGTTTAAGAAGCGAGATTCACACTTGATAACTTTTCGGAGTGGAGCAAATGCAACACAAATAGACTTCCTGCACAAGGAGCACGGGTAGACAAGGTTGCTTAAACTACAAGGTCATCCCAGGAGAGAGTGTGGTCACCCAACACCGGCTTTTGGTAATGACTATTCGTTTGAAAGAGAAGGCGGAGAGAAAAGGAAGACAAGAGGAGCCAAGGATAAGGTGGTGGACTCTAAGGGATGCAAAGGCTAAGGTTTTTACAGAAAAGGTAATTAAGGAAGCGGATTGGGATGGAGAGGTGGATCCAGACATGTCTTGGTTACGAATGAAGAACTGTTTCCTGAGAGTGGCCAAAGAGGTCTTAGGGGAATCAAGAGGAAGATCTTCGATACAGAGAGATACCTCGTGGTGGGATGAAGAGGTTAAAGCAGTAATTAAGCAAAAAAGGGATTGATATCAAGCCTTGGGAAAATGTAGGAGTGAAGAAACCTTTGCAGCATATAAGGAGGCTAAGAGTAAGGCAAAGGAAGTTGTTCGCCTAGTAAAAAAAAAAGGCTTATCAGGAGGTTTATGAAAAGCTTGACTCCAAGGAAGGAGAAAAGATCATTTATAAGATGGCAAAGAGAAGACAAGAGGCAACGAAGGATATTGGCATGGTGAAGTGTGTCAAAGATAAGAACCAAATGGTCCTTGTACAAGAGGAGGACAGGCGGAAGGGGTACTTCGATGAATTGTTTAATGAAAGTAATGGAGTTGTGACAGGAGATACCTCCGTGAGTGATGAATAAATCAACATGGAGTACGTGCAGAGGATTAGGAGAGTAGAGGTGGAGATTGCACTGAAAAAGATGAAGCCTAAGAAGGCGGTTGGTCCTGATGGTGTACCGATAGAGGTGTGGAGGTGTTTGGGTAAGATTGGTATTGATTGGTTAACAAACCTTTTCAACAAGATATGGAGGGCTACAAGGATCCAGCAAAATTAGAGGAAGAGCACCTTAGTCCCGGTCTATAAAAACAAATGATATCCCACGAAGATGCGTGGACCTGATTAAGGATATGTATCGGGATGTGTTAACAAATGTGGGGACATGTGGAGGGTTGACAAAAGATTTCTGGTGTGCCTCAGTCGTATGCAACCAAAAATATCACAACTAAGCTAACTGCAAATAAACGTAGTTAGGGAAGTCGAGTTCGAATCCACAGGGAAAAAGGGACTAATAACTGGAAACCTAAGTGGAAATACTCTAGGACGGTAGTAACCTAAGTAACGAGGGGGGTTTTCACGAGCAATGATGATAAATGAACTAAGTAAGAACAACGAACGTAATGAATAGGTAATCAATGAGAAGAACGGTCTTGGTTATGCGAAATCCACTAATGAACATACAAATTGATCATAGAAGTCTCCTCAATCAAGCTCTATTGAACACCTTGTTGTAGAATTCCTAGATTCTAAATTCTCATAAATAGTTAGAAATAGCAAAGCGCTCCTTTCTAACCCTTTCCAATGCACAATTCAAGACAAGCGCTCTAAATTATCCACAAGAAGAAAATAAACGGAGAAATCAACAAGGATTGAATAAATTAACACAAGCGGTCTAATTTCTTCAATAATATTATTCCCTCTTCAAGTTATCAACCAAAAGCATGCATCAATAACCTAAAGTTGCTACTTTGGAAAGATTAATTAGATGCAAGCGAATCCAATAATTCTAACCTAGCAATTAATTAAAGCAAATCATGAAATTAATTCAAGGAACAATATATATTCAATAGATATTAAGAGAAGAAAGATCTCACAATTCGTAGCTAAAAGCTTCAATCTTTAACCAAGAATCCGGAAGATTAAGCTTCCATGGATTCTAATTCCAAAACAAAGAATTCTGAAAATTCCAAGAAAACCCTAGAAACTTTTTTTTCTCAAAACTTAATTCTCCTTTTCTAACTTCAAACTTAATTAAAACTAAGCTATTTATATCTTTCTATATTTTAATAACATAACACAATAATAATAATAAAATAATATCCAAAACACGAGCCAAAACAAAGCCAAATTGCTGAAAATTAACCAAAACAGCCCGAATTTCTGCTAGAGCCGCTGCCAGCTGCTCTGGACCCGCTGGCAGCTGCTCTGGCAGCCCCTCACTCTGGTATACCCGCTGCCAGCGGCTCTGGCCAGCTGCCAGCGGCCCTGGCAGCGGTTCTTGCTGTTTTCGCCTTCTTTCCTTGCTTCTTCTTCTTGCTTTGCTTCACCTTTTCCTCAAGCTTTCTTCCTTGCTCTTCCATGCTCCATCACAACTCTCAAATCACGAGCCAAGGTCCATCCTTCTTACATAACTCTTCATTGGTTCCCGAGCTCACTCACTCACTTATACTCATAAATCCCGCCTTTTGCACATAAGTGAGATCACAGCCCAAAACTCACAAAAGCTAACAAAAGTACATATAAAGCATCAAAACACACCCTAAAATGCTTCTCTCAACCCATGATAATAAGGCTTATCAAATTCCCCCATGCTTGAACCTTTACTCGCCCTCGAGTAAACTTAGAGAATAAAACACATCCTCCTCACTAAGGTTCAAAACAGAAGATGGTGGAATCAAACTAGCTCTACGCACTCAAACTCAACAAAACATCCTAGTACTTATCAACCAATCACAATCACACTCCCCCATACTTCACACTTTAAATCTCCCTTTTTTCTTATTTATCAATTCATCCCCAAAATCAACTTGGAACGATAAACGCATAGCCATGAGTATGAATATTCTCAATCGCCTAAAGAAATGAAATTTTTGATAAAATTGGGCAAACAAAAACTCAACTTAACCAAAAATCTCATAAAAACACTTCCACATTCAAGAGTGAAAACAAACAACTCATGCTCTCAAATTCCTAAGATGATCAACAAATTCCCCCAAAATCTCAACTATCTCCCAAAATCACCAAGATGAAACCTACCCCGACACCTCCTTATATCTCCTCCCCTTATGACACCGACTCCGGAAAATAGATGCGAAATTTCCTTGAAAAATCAAATTCATGAACATTTCTCTCTTTTTTCTCTCATTTTGCCTAGGAGCCCTTTCGGGTTTTCATCCTAGCCTCTCATCTTTTTCCAAATCTCACTTTCTCACCCACTCATTAGCCACTTTTTTGCTTAGGTCGCCCTTTCGGGTTTTCAACCTAACCGGGCCCCCATTTTTGCCTAAGCCGCCTTTTCAGGTTTTCGACTTAGCGGGTTTCTTTTTCTTTTTTTCTTTCTTTCTTTTTTTTTTTTTTACTTTTTTCTGTTTTTTTTTTTTTTCAAGCTTGCTTCATTGAACCACAATTAAGATAGTTATACAAAACATGAAATCAAGATAACTATACAAAATTCAAAGAATATATGCAAGAATTTCTTCCCCCCCCCCCTACTTGAATGAAGCATTGTCCTCGATGCAAGAACAACTACAATGAAACCAAAAGTAAGGGAAAAGGAAGAAAATCGTTACCATCTCAATGAGAGGGACCTCCAGAGCCAGAAGAGCCGGCATCGCCCCGAGAAGCACGCCTCTCGGAACGACGCAAAGCACGGGATGCCAAATGATCCATGAACGCCTCAGTTGGAGGCTCATACTGCGGATACTGAGTGGTGTAAAACCGACTCATGCTTCTTTGATATGCAAGCAGCTCGTGCATCCCATCGCACACCTCCTCTAGTCTATCATCCACATCAGCCCTCCATTGAGGCCAATCATCGTGCTGCACTCCAGCAGCATCCTCACCCCCTTCCTCATCAACAAACTCTCCGCCCATATGAACATCGGGATTCTCCTCTCCCATGTTCTCAACTATGATTTCAGCATCTCCCAAATAAGGAGCAACATCCGGGTCGGGTGGAAGGAAAAAGTCTGCAGCAGTAGGGCCAAAAGGTAATGCTCGTCCCTCGGGACGAGGAAGTCTCAAATAGTTCAAACCCTGCGGTCCGTATCGCCAGAAATAACTACCGGCGACGGGGGAACGCGATAATAAACCGATCTTGACCAGAGTCATGATGTTATATGTCAAGTATGTCGAGTCTACTAGCACAAGATCCTCAGGGGGTGGAACATTCAAATAACAGGCTAGCAAAGAGACCATGCTACCCATACTAATATGGCCACTGGAGTTGGACTTCACCTTTACACAACTATCAACAAAAATCTCCACCCAATTGGGCGTACCGACACCTTCAGGGGTCATCGCCCACAAATACGACAATGTGACTTTGGGGACCTTAGTGGCCTCCCCTTGGCATAGAATAGTGGACGATATAAACCTATGCACCAGTCTAAGGCATGGGTGGGTGATTTTGAAGCTATGATCACCGTGAGGATCAACCTCACAACCAGTTATAGCCCTCCAAAATACTCGGGACGAGTATGAGCTATGATCACCCCAACGGTTCACCAATGGGGGTGCATCCCAACCAAATGCCATTCGCATATCATCATAAGACACAACATAATTCCTATTGTTCAAATTAAAGGATATTTGTTCACGTCCTTTAGTAAGCGTTGAAAGGAATTCATATGTATACCTGACATAGGTGGGGGCGCATTTGGTCATGAAATTCTCCAGACCCACTTTCCGTAGCAAGAGCCGCACTACTTCCTCCATCTCTAGCTCTTGTAGAGCTTCTAAGTCAAAGAACTTGGTGCATTGCACCGTTCGTCGGGGTTGTTGAAGCTTAGTCCATACACCCTTCTCCTTGGAATGCAACCGAACACCCATGAAACCATCCCCTTGAGGCAATGGAGGTGCCTCCCCTTGACTTGAAGAAGCCCCTTGCTTCTTGCCCCTTGAGGGTCTTGATGGAGATGATTCTTTAGACCTCTTGTTGTCTCTACCCATGGCTATAAAAAGGAATATGTTCACTTGCACCTTCACCTTCACCTTCAATGAAAATAAATTAAGCTTGCAATTCCACACAACCAACTCAATTTCACAATTGAAATCAAGAAAAATGGTAAACCCTAGGTGAAATTGTGATGGGAATTGAGAATTTGATGAAAGATGAAGATTTGGGAAAGGGAAATTGGTAGGAATTTGGTATAATTGGAGTAGGGGAATGAATGAGTAGAGAGAAGGAGAAGAAAAGGAGTAAGGGTTTATGTGAATTGGGGGATAATGAAGTTGGAGTTGTAAAAGGGGAAATAAGGGAAAAAAAATCGGGGAGAGCTGTAGGAGCCGCTGGTAGCGGCTTGAGGCCCGCTGCCAGCGGCTCTGGCAGATTTTGGTGATTTTTTTTTTTTTTTTTTTTTTTTTTTCAAGTTAACAAAACGTAGAGGGGGGGCCCGCTGGCAGCGGCTCAGGAGCAGCTACCAGCGGCTGGGACAGAAACAAAGGGGTTTGGGCTGCAAGAAGACCCGCTGGTAGCGGCTGCAGAGCAGCTGCCAGCGGCTTCTGCAGGGAAGGCCCCCCTTGTCTCTGTTTTGCTCTGTTTTTGCTGCGTTTCGCGCATAAAAATTGCTCCCAAGGCCTCCACCTACACAAAAACAATAAAAACACTCTTCACATCACACGAAAAAAATAAAAACTAAACTACGAAAAGTAATGGGGAAGAGTTTTCGATCGGGTTGCCTCCCGATTAGCGCCTTTGTTTTACGTCGTTGGCTCGACGCGGCTCATCCCACTTCGCTACTCCATTGATGGCTCGTAGAGATCGATGCACTCCACGTTCTCGGTTTTGAAACCCTCGAAGTAGGGTTTGAGCCTTTGGCCATTGACTTTGTAAATCTTATCGGTCTCGAGGCTTTGAATTTCAACTGCTCCATGCGGATATACATTCACCACTTGAAAAGGGCCCTCCCAACGGGACCGAAGTTTTCCCGGAAATAATCTAAGTCGGGATTGATATAGGAGTACTTTTTCACCGACTTTAACCTTCTTCCTAGAAATTATCTTGTCATGCCACAACCTATTCTTTGCTTTGTGGTATAAATGGGACAATTTCTTGCTCGGAATTGCAGACGGGCCGATTGTTGAACCTGGTGGTATAGGTGGAAGCTTGGAATGTTCATTCAATTCCCCCACCTTCACCTGCACATTAGTAGGCATAGAGAAATCCAAGCAATCACCAGATACAACATTAGTTATAGGTGTGAGGAACTCATCCCCACGATCATTGTTAGGAACATCATGCACCATTGGATCGACAACATTAAGAGAACATAAAGAATGAGTGTTGACAGGATACTTTATGGAATCATAAATGTTATACCCAATTGCTTTCCCATCAACCTCCATAGTCAAGGAACCGGTAGACACATCGATTTTTGTTTTAGCAGTCTTCAAGAAAGGTCTTCCTAACAAGATGGGGACTGCTTGTTTGTCATGTTCCATGTCAAGCACATAAAAGTCAGCAGGAAAAATCAAACCATCAACCTTAACCAACACATCTTCCACCACCCCCTTAGGATACACATTAGACCTATCCGCTAACTAAATCACTACCCCAGTTCCATGTAAAGGTCCAAGTTTTAAAGATTTAAACAGGGAGTAGGGAATGACATTGATTGATGCACCTAGGTCCAACATAGCTCGGTGCAATGTGGTGTCTCCTATTGTAATAGGAACAATAAACATACCAGGATCACCACATTTTTCTGGGATTTTCTTTTGGAAAACCGCAGAAACATGAGCACTCACCTTTACTTTTTCTTTTCCTCTCAACCTGTGCTTTCTCTTGATCGTACACAGTTCCTTCATAAACTTAGCAAAACGAGGAACACTTTTAATCACATTCAAGAGGGGCATATTTACCTCACATTTGCTGAAAGTCTCATAAATATCCTTGTCTTTCTCATACCTTCGAGTATCTTGCAAGGCTTCTGGGAAAGGTGGCACAGGCTCATAAGAGGTAAAGGTTGGAGGATTCGCCTTAGTTTCTTGTTCTACTTCCTCCTCCTCAACTCCAATCAAGTCTTTAGCCTTCTTAGGTGCAACTACAGTTTCTTGCAACTTTTTGCCACTTCTCAATGTTATTGCATTAACTTGTTGCTTAGGGTTCAGCTCCGTTTGGGATGGAAGCTTTCCAGAGTCCTTAGCTTCAAGTCGGCTTACTGCACTTGAGATTTGACTGACTTGATTCTCCAGGTTTTGAATACTTGATCTGGTTTCTTGTTGAAACTGCATCATATTCTGCTGCATGGTAGAAACATTAGAAGTTAGTGATCTAATCATTTCTTCAGTTGACATATTACCTGAATTAGAGCTTTGGCCTTGAGGTGTTAGGAACGGTGCCCTATATTGCTGAAACTGTTGTTGACCTTGAGCATGCTGATGTTGTTGGTTTCCTTGGGAATTCCCATATCTCAAATTTGGATGATCTCTCCATCCTGGGTTGTAGGTATTTGAAAAGGGATCATATCTTCTTTGCGGACCTTGCCCTTGAAAACCTAAGGCGTTGGCCTGCTCATTCTGCTCCTCTTGTAATTGAGGACATGTATCAGTGGGATGTCCTGTGGAGGTGCATAAACCACAAGCATTCAGTTGCTGTGGATTCCTTGAGTTCACCATGAACTCACGCATCATAGAAGTCAAATCAGCTACTTGACTCTCTAACTCAGTTGTATTTGAATTTGCTGCATTCACCCGGCGCGTGGGAGTTCTCTGACTGAACTGCCTAGAATTCTCTGCTAGCTCTGCAATCAGCCTAGTTGCATCTCCTGGAGTCTTATTCACTAGCCCTCCACCACTTGCTGCATTCACCATCCTCAAATCATCATCTGTTAGACCTCCATAGAAGTATAGGATGAGGTCTTGATCGGAATACCCATGGTACGGACAACTAGCACACAATCTCTTGAATCTCTCCCAATACTCATACAAGGACTCATCTTCCTTCTGATCCACATTGCTGATAGCTTTCTTAAGGCTTGCAGAAATAGTGGCTGGGTAATACTTCTCTAAGAAACACTTCTTCAAACCTGCCCAATTTGTTATGCTCCCTGGGGGAAGATAGTAAAACCAATCCTTCGCTGCATCTTTGAGAGAAAAAGGAAATGCTCTCAACTGAATTTGCTCATCAGTCATCCCAATCGGTTTCATGCTAGTACATACCACATGAAATTCTGCCAGATGTTTATTCGGATCTTCGCCTTTCATGCCATGGAATGCCGGCAATAGATGAATTAAACCGGATTTGATCTCAACATTAGTACCTTCCTCCAACTGCTGGTATGCAATGCACAGCGGTTGTTGGTTCAAGTTGGGAGCTGTGAGTTCCCTTAGAGTTCAATTGTCAGCCATCTCCTCTTCTTCTTGAATATTGAAGGAGTATGTTGATTCACTGGGGGTTGTTCTTGCCTCTCTTCGCAACCTGGAAATATTTCTTTCAATTTCTGGATCAAACTGCAAAACTTCTTTGTTAGCAGAACGGGTACTTATCATACCCTAGCGAACAAACAAAGAAAAAAATAGCTAAGAACAATCCTAAAATAAATTCTACTAAGATAAACAATTAAACGGTAACGCCTAAGTCCCCGGCAACGGCGCCAAAATTTGGTGTGCCTCAGTCGTATGCAACCAAAAATATCACAACTAAGCTAACTGCAAATAAACGTAGTTAGGGAAGTCGAGTTCGAATCCACAGGGAAAAAGGGACTAATAACTGGAAACCTAAGTGGAAATACTCTAGGACGGTAGTAACCTAAGTAACGAGGGGGGTTTTCACAAGCAATGATGATAAATGAACTAAGTAAGAACAACGAACGTAATGAATAGGTAATCAATGAGAAGAACGGTCTTGGTTATGCGAAATCCACTAATGAACATACAAATTGATCATAGAAGTCTCCTCAATCAAGCTCTATTGAACACCTTGTTGTAGAATTCCTAGATTCTAAATTCTCATAAATAGTTAGAAATAGCAAAGCGCTCCTTTCTAACCCTTTCCAATGCACAATTCAATACAAGCGCTCTAAATTATCCACAAGAAGAAAATAAACGGAGAAATCAACAAGGATTGAATAAATTAACACAAGCGGTCTAATTTCTTCAATAATATTATTCCCTCTTCAAGTTATCAACCAAAAGCATGCATCAATAACCTAAAGTTGCTACTTTGGAAAGATTAATTAGATGCAAGCGAATCCAATAATTCTAACCTAGCAATTGATTAAAGCAAATCATGAAATTAATTCAAGGAACAATATATATTCAATAGATATTAAGAGAAGAAAGATCTCACAATTCGTAGCTAAAAGCTTCAATCTTTAACCAAGAATCCGGAAGATTAAGCTTCCATGGATTCTAATTCCAAAACAAAGAATTCTGAAAATTCCAAGAAAACCCTAGAAAGCTTTTTTTTCTCAAAACTTAATTCTCCTTTTCTAACTTCAAACTTAATTAAAACTAAGCTATTTATATGTTTCTATATTTTAATAACATAACACAATAATAATAATAAAATAATATCCAAAACACGAGCCAAAACAAAGCCAAATTGCTGAAAATTAACCAAAACAGCCCGAATTTCTGCCAGAGCCGCTGCCAGCTGCTCTGGACCCGCTGGCACTGCTCTGGCAGCCCCTCACTCTGGTATACCCGCTGCCAGCGGCTCTGGCCAGCTGCCAGCGGCCCTGGCAGCGGTTCTTGCTGTTTTCGCCTTCTTTCCTTGCTTCTTCTTCTTGCTTTGCTTCACCTTTTCCTCAAGCTTTCTTCCTTGCTCTTCCATGCTCCATCACAACTCTCAAATCACGAGCCAAGGTCCATCCTTCTTACATAACTCTTCATTGGTTCCCGAGCTCACTCACTCACTTATACTCATAAATCCCGCCTTTTGCACATAAGTGAGATCACAGCCCAAAACTCACAAAAGCTAACAAAAGTACATATAAAGCATCAAAACACACCCTAAAATGCTTCTCTCAACCCATGATAATAAGGCTTATCAATTTCCCTATTACAATCGGATTGCATCAAGGGTCTGCATTAAGCCCTTTTCTTTTTACAACGGTTCTAGATGAAGTAACTAAACCATTTCAAGATGAGGTTCCATGGTGTATGTTGTTCGCAAATGATATCGTTTTGGTGGATGAAACTAAGGATGGGATTAATGCCAAGTTGTAGCAATGGAGGCAGAGGTTGGAATCTAGAGGGTTAAGCTAAGTCAGAGTAAGACTGAATATTTGGTATGTCGTTTTGGTAACCAGAGGAGGAAGAGCAATGAAGTGGTGAGTTTGGATGGAAAGGATTTGACCATGAGTGAATGTTTAAAGTATCTTGGGTCGATCATCCAGAAGGATGGTGACATTGATCAAGACGTGGCCCACAGGATTAAGTCGGGGTTGTTTCGGGTTTTTTGATGTCCTTCGGGAGAGTTACAATTCCAAGACTAACCTCTGGACGCCTGTACCTGCAAAACAACGGAGACTCCGGTGGGTGGGAGCTCCGCCTCCGACGACCAAGTTAGAACGTGTTTGAGGAGTAAAATGCGTAAAGTAAAGGGTCTCTCTTGGATTCCAAGAGAGGATCTGCAATGTATAATTGCTCGGTTTGGGGTGTCAGGTGTCTTTCTCTGATGTAGAGTTAATGTGTATTGAATATTTCTGAATAATCGTTCCCATGAGGAAACATCTCCCTTTTATAGGGTCTTGGAAAACGTGCCCAATACTAGGTTTTAGTAAACCTAGGGCTGATTGGGCTTTGCCTTGGCCGTAAGAGGCCACTTGCTCAGTTTGCAATTCTGCCTGCCACGTGTCGTGACCTGATTGGTCCATCTTGGACCTCTCATGAGATGACATGTGGCGGACTCTGATTGGTCCACGTGGATGACACGTGGCAGGATATCATTGGTCCACGTGGCGGGGGGAAATCCCCAATCATTTGCCCCTCACAGGGGTGACGTGGCATGCCACGTGGCGCCTGTGACAGGTGTCATGCCATGATTGGAGAACGGTTCTTACCGTTTATTTTTTTTTTTTTTTGGTGACCCTTGAAATTCCCCCCTATAAATAGGGGGTGTCCAAATCATTTGGACATTCTAGAAACTTTAAGATAGGATTTTGGACGACTGCTTTTACTCTTTAGACTATTGCCGCTTGTTTTTACAGACCGCATGTTTCCTTTACCGCCTGCTTCTTCAAGTGTTTAAGTTTTCAAGGGTTCCAAGACTTCTCTTCCTCCAAGGTAACCGCCTGTTTCCTTTTTCACTTTCTCTTTGTTTTTTCTGTTTTCAAAAATGGTAGCCCAAAAGCACCAGGCACGATCTAGGTTAGTGATCAGCCAGTCACCGGGGACGGCTGAATCTAGAACTAGGAGTGCCGCCTGCCCCATGCTGGACCATCCTTTGCGAACTGCCCAGAGTCTGTGCAGGATACCATGGCAAGAACAAAGAGAACGGCCAGGATAACAAATTCAGACGGCTCCTCATTTTACGCGCCTATAAGCACCCCAAGTGATTCCATTTTGGCGGAATTAGGGGAGGAGGTTCAGAATGAACCCCTCATTATTGATCTGTCCGGACAGGCAACTGCTTTGCCCAAGAGCTGGGATGACAACTCTAAGCTGAGCACCTCCAGCCGGCACTCTGACGACTCAGAGGAGAAGCACTCTCGGCTACATACATCGAGAGAGAGCCATGAGGTGGAGAAGGGGGAGAGATGGGTAGAACCGGCTGCCACCCAAAGGGAAATGTACACTCCTTATTTCTGCCATGTTCCCAAGGCGCAAGGTCATGTATAAAAAAATAGGGAGCTTTAGGGCTGACCATGTGATGGGACATGGTTACATTCTAACTTTGCCGGATGCCGAGGATATGGTAGTCTGGCCAGAGTCGTCCAGTTATAGGGACGAGTGTTTTGGCTGCTATAAGGCGGCCATTAAAGCTGGTTTAATATTTTCTCCACATCCGGCTGTAGAGAGGATTTTAGATGGGTACCAGCTGGGTCTCTGGCAACTGGCCCCAAACTCATGGTTCAACATCTTAGGCTATATTGCCGGCTGCGAGATGTATGGGGTAGAACCAAGCTTCGAAGCTTTTGCTCACATGAACTACCTTAGCAAGACCCCAAAAACAAGCGGTACCGCCTGGTACCAGTTGTCTAGCCATAAAGGCTATATGATGACAATGCGCAAGGAGAACAAGTGGAAGGACCGGAGGAATACATAGTCTCCAACCCTGATAAGATCAAGAACAAAAAATACAATAGTTGGAACAGGGATCCACCTTACCTAACAGGCGGCTCTGATCTGCCGCCTGTTCCACATCAAGCAAGGGAAGAGATCCTGGATAGAGGGCTCTTCAAAGTATACATACAGGCGAACCCCGAGACTGGGGTGAGGGAGTTCGTCCCTCAAAATTACATCCCAAAGTATAAATGGTTATACGATGGGAAGTACCTGGCCGCCTACGGCCTTAGCGAGGAGATGCCGAGAGGTAGAGGACCACCTGTTTAGCGTGTCTTGATAGACTTGATTGATTTTTGTGTCTAACCATCTGATTAATCTTTTGCAAATAAAGCTATGGAAAAGATCTCGCCTCCAAAAAGATAGCCGCCTAACTCCGCACAGCCGTTCTTGGCAAGCGGTCTACAGAGGAGTCGCCTGCCAAACAGGCGCCTAAGGTGAGCTTCTTCACTTAACACAATTTCCCTTCTTTTTAATTTGGCGATCATTTTTGTCGCTTGTTTTTTATTCATTGTCTCGTTGCAGAGCGACACTGTCAGACCCTCCTCCTCAACTCAGTCGGACCCCAAACGTCAAAAACAGAC